CACCTTACAGCCAGCAATCAAGCGGTACTGGACCAGGACGGAATTCACGTCAACCTCGCTCTTGCCGTTGAGGCGCGGAATTTGTTTGAGGTCAGTGGGAGTCAACCCCTCCCCCCCCCCCCCCTCAACGCATCACAATCGTTATTTCTGTTTCGCACAAACACAAAGTGGCACACATCGGGATCATCAATCGTTCATTTAGTTATCCAATACTACTTGCAAAGTGCCATAACACAGTGAATCCATAGCGTTATTCTTGTGTTTTTTGTCCCGGTCATTCTGGCGGGCATGTTTTCATGTGCCAGCCGGAAATGTACGATCGATGCGAGTTACGTCAAATATTTACACGCGCATGCGCGCGTATGGACCTATCGTACCCGTTTTGCCCAGGCCTTGATGCAGCAGTTCAAGGAGAGCGTGCTAGGGGAGGACGGCCTGTCTCTACGTGCCATGAGCGACGAAAGCGCAAAGGAGCTGGCCGACCAAGCGGCAACTGGCCTCCTCGACCTGGTGAGCACCCCGATTTTTGTATGTTCTTGTCTGTATCGCGGGTGTTGCAGAGAGGATTGCCTTCAGTAGTGAACCGGTTGTTTAGGACCCGCCACCACGTGAGAACCTCTGTTATTTGGCTAACCCTCGCGGCCTATTTGCTCGAACAGTAGCCCAAGTCTCTACCCAGGCCATTGACCAAGCTTTGTTATCCCCCCCTCCCCCCCCCCCCCCAAACGCGGCATTCCGCTGACCGGTTCCACGACAGGTGGATCGAGAGTTCCACAGCAGGATAAGCCGCGCCTCCGGCGGTAGCAGCGCAGACCACGCTACCGCCGCTCACACCGGGCACCCCGCGACGGACGGGAGGAAACGAAGCGTGGTCTCGCCTTTTTCGACGGCACCGGAGAGAGATAGAGATGAGGAAGAAGATAGCGAAGAAGAAGGCGGCCTGGATTGGTTGGACGGGATCAAGAGGCAGGCAGCGGGGGCAAGGAGCAGGCCCGGCGGTGCAGGAGGCGTGAAGCGCACGGGGAGCACGCTGTTGGGAGATGATGCCACCGCCCAACCCTTGCCAGTTTTGGAGTCTATCGGGGACAGGGCGGAGTACGAGTCGGCGTTGGTTGCCTTGAAGGTGGGCGCTATCTGCCGTGTGTTGTGCACTAGCGTGTCTCTTGGATGGATCGAGACTACTGATGGTGTTTTACCACGGCGGGGATTTTAGTCCCCTACCGCTTGACACCCCTCCCCCCCAACTCACCCCTTGTTCTTGTCACCCCCAAAGGCGTATCACCGGCAGCACGGAAATCTCCTCCTGACCCAGAACTATGTCATGCCCGACGAGGAAGATAACGGGAACATGTTGGAACACCGTGGGTGGCGTTTGGGGCAAAAGGTGAGGTCTACGGGTTACTGCGAACGCAACGAGAGTTGCGGCTACGGTCGGGGTGGCATTCCAAGATGAAACGTGTAAGTCGGCCGGCGGCGGAGGCAATCTATCGATGCACGGAGGCATACAAGGGCACGAGGCGTTTGGTGTTGGCGTTTAAACCGGGTCACGCGAGGGGACGAAGAATTGGTGATGGAATTTACACGAGGTCATGCAGGGGCACGGAAGCGTTGATGGTGATGGGTTTTTAAACGGAGTCACGCAGGGGCATGACGCGTTGGTGATGGCATCAAAACAAGTCGTACTGCGCCTGCTGCTTTTCCCTGCCCCTTGCGCGCAAATAACGGCCGCTCCTGCTGCTTTTGCCGGGCTTTGGGTTGCTGCTTCCTCTCGACGACGACGACGCTGCTGCTGCCGCTGCGGCCTCCTCCTCGAAGGTGTACACGATGAAGTTCTGGAAGAGGCACGTGAGAGACCGACCGTCGAGGAGAGCGGAGTTGGCCAAGCTGGGATTCGTCTGGGGAAGGTGCGGGCATTGCTGTAATTTGCTGCTGCTGCTGCTGCTGCTGCTGCTGCTGCTGCTGCTGATGATGATGATGATGATGATGATGATGATGATTTTTGTTCGTCCATTTGCTTTGTTTGCTCTCCAGCCTGAGCTCACTGCAGCGGTTTCCCACGTTTGTTTGCCCGCATCCCACGTTGTTTTTGCTCTTATTTTCGTCGCGTCTCCCCCATGTTGCTGTTGCGGTTGGTTCTTTGCATGACAGGTTGCAGGACGAGTACAACTTGTTTCTGGAGGCGTTGTTGGCCTACAGGGACATCGAGGTTAGTCCGTCGCTTTTGGAGCTCGCACTAAATGGGTCCGAACAATATGTCCACCCCCCCACGCTTGTCCAAACCTGTAGATAGTGGCATGCCTAGTTTTTCAACGTATTGATTTAACACGTGCGTGTGTACCTTCTCCAAACCCTTCTGTCCCGTGTCGAAGAATAAGGAAGAACGGCAGGACGTGTGCTTTCAAGGTTCGATGGATAGAGTATGCTTCGCTCCACATCGCGTCGTATTATTTATTGAATAGAGTTGCGCTCCAAGCAAGCATGCTTCGTCAGGAAGAACCATGATTGTTTTCATCACCGCCCGCGGTGCACCCTTTCCCCACCCCCCACCCCCGCCCTCAATTCGACTTGTACTGCCAGAAGAAAGGCGTACGTTATCTCGAAAGAACACTGATGTGTTTGAGGTTGTCGCCAGTGATGCCTTCCCGTCTCCCACGCGCTCCTTTCGTAATTTCTTCGTTCTAATGAAAAACCAAGCGATTTTTCATTCCTTTTTAACCCTTTTTTCGGATTTCCTCGCATTGAAACATTTGTTTTTAGCCATGCCCACTCTTTTTATCACTTTTTTGTTTGGCGCGCGAAACGCTTCCGAAGGGGTGTCTGCTTGTTCCCACCTCGTTCGTCGTGCCGGAGACGGAGCCGTGGCCCCTCTCGTGCCAGGGCATGAGGCTTGGGGCCAAGGTGGCCGGGGTGAGGAATCAGAGCTTGTACGTCAGGACGGACGTTGCGCGATGGTGAGTATTGTTGTTGATGTTGTTGCTGCTGCTGCTGCTGCCGCTATGGTGTCGATGTCGCATTTGCTGTTGTATCGATCCGGGTCAACTCGTCCGGCAACTCCTCGAAACTATGGCAACAGCGTCTCTTTGTACGGGGCGTGCAAAACGGCGTAGTCGCAGGTCCCACATGGTTGGTGGAAATTCCTCTGTACGGGGTGGGGCTTCCTTTCACAGACAGACGGACGTGGCAAATGCCCCAAAGCAGGGGTCATAGTAACCAGCACGGAGTCAGCGTGATGATGAGTACCCCACCCACCCCCCGTATGCCCCCCTCCTCCCACAGGTACCAGCTGGATGCGATAGGCTTCGTGTGGGATCTGTCGGACGCCCCTTTCCGCCAGGTAGGCAGCGCCGCTGTTCCACGCCAAAGGCGAAGCTGTTCGGGTAGCAGTCCCGCCGCTGTCGCTGCTCCTATGCTGTGTTCGACAAAAATCACGTCGGTATCACGTGAGATCGCTGCCTCACACTATCTTCCAACGATTTTTGGCCTATCTATCCGCGCATTGTAACGGTAGTCCCGCATCGACATGCCTTTGCTCTTCCTGCCACGCGCTACATGGTACCACACGGCGTCATCATCTGTTTTCGACTCAATATTGGTCCCGCATCACCGGGGTTCTGGCATCTCGCGTCACGGACGATGCCTTCAGGTGTACGACGCCCTGCTGCAGTACAAGGCTGAGCACGGCAATCTCCACGTACCGGTGGCCTTTAGCGTGCCGTCGAGCCCGCCGTGGCATCAAGATCTGTGGGGGCTGGCACTGGGGCAAAGGTGAGAGAGACAGACAGACAGACAGACAGACAGACAGACAGAGAGCAGCTTATGGGATTGTTCGAGTGGCCTGGTGATGCTGTGCGTGATCGTGTAGCTTTCAGTTTTTCGCTCCTTGGGCTGTTGGCTTTTAGTTTGGAGCTGGCGGGTGATTTGATGTTGCTGTTCTCATTGGAGATTCGCGACAGGCGTGTTGGTGCTGTATTTGGTGCTTTTGTCGTTTTTTTATGGTGCCACTGCTTGTTGTGCCGCGCAGTTTGTATACGAGTGTTTGATGCTTGTCTTGCCTTTTGAGGTTGATTGTTGTTGTTTCTTGCTGTGGTCTTGTAGGGCTCCTTGTTGACCTCATTTATACGCGCTGACGGCAGGGAGGATACGTCAATCGCTTCACCAAGTGATGGGTATCATGTGTGCGTTTTTGTTTTGCGTTGGTCCGCATTGGGCCTGCCTGTTCGTACCATTCGCTTCATCGACCGGTTGGCCCCCACTGGCCGCTACGCAAGCGCTACACCTGGCAACTATCAACCCCCCCGCCCGCGCACACACGCTCGCGTCACCCCCAACCCGCCTCACCCGTTGAATTATCCCTTATTTCTTGTTCCCTCTGGTCGGTCTGGTGGTTCAAGGGTCCTCGACATCCGAGCGACGCATCGATACATCCGCAACGATCCGGAGCGAATTCGGCTGCTGAACGAGGTCGGCTTCCGCTGGACTGATGCCACGAAAGCTAGCTACGGCAACGTCGTGCGAGCGCTAAAGGTGCCATTATTAGCCAAAGCACGCTCAGAGGAGTTCATAAAACTTCTCGTGGGAGCCACACGGCTCCCTTGTCCGGCTGCATAATATTCGTGGAATGATCGAACGACGGGGTCATGTCCAGCACGAACTTGCGCTCCGTCTTGAGCGCGGGATCCAGCGCGGTCCATGGTACCGACGCGCCGGTGCCTCGCCCCGGCATCGGGGCCCTCCTGCCCTTCCGCCTCCACGCAGCCCACACACGGGTGCCACGCAGCCCACACACGAGTGCGGCTCCCCCACCAATCGAACACCCTGCTGCTTTGCGGTCTCGCCCATCAAAAATTCATTCACGTGGCCGGCGGAGGCGTGGATGCAACATTCATCGAACCTCCACCGGTCATGTGAATGAATTTCCGATGGGCGACACCGCAAAGGAGCAGGCTGC